GGTGGGTGGGTGGAGGAAGGAGGGTGAGGAGAGGTCACTGATGTTATTGATCACCCCAAGTAAGTAGCCCATGGCAATATCTGCAATGGACTTCTTGCATACTTATATGCCCTACTCTCCTCCCCCTATCCCCTATTTTTACCCTCAAACACTGGTGTCCATCTAAGTTTTTATCTCCCTTTCTCTATCTCCCCCCCCCCCTAATAAGGAGCTATTAACTCATATTATAACAATAAAGGCATGCAGACGAACCAGTTCACGTGTGTGGGCAATGGAATAATGCATGACCTTTTGTTTAACTAATTTAAGAATCGTTTTCGCTGGAGATCATGAGATTTATCTCCCTTCTTTTGTTACTCTAAGTTACAATGAGTTAAACGAACAAAGACATGGAAAAACAAGGCGTAAACGCCTAGCTTATTGATTGGACAGTAATATGCTCAGCCCTGGTACGGAAGCATACGAACAGCACGGGGATGACTTGACCATTGGAGTATACGAACTGGGAACTCGGTATTCCATAAGCTAGAAGAGGACATTTATTCTGCTTCAAGCCTATCATTCGACTTGATTGATTGAATTCGTGGTGACAAAATGATCGCTTCCACTTGCAATGTGCAATCTCTATGTTTCTTGGTCCTTTGCACATATTAAAGATTTCATACCCTTCCACTACACATATAAGAACAAGTGAAAATGAACAAAATTAATGAAAATCATGGTTTAGAAAGGCAACGTATTTACTCATGATCAGTAAATTGTTATTTGATTAGTACAGCTACTAATAAGATAGTGATGAAAGGGTAGGAGGAGGCCAATCCAACAGAGCTAGAAGGACTCAGGAAACCTATTTCCCGAGTACAGGTGAGCAGATATAGGCCCAAACACTGAATACTCGTGACTTATCATAGACCTCCACGACACTGTGACAGTAAGTCATTCAATCATAGCTTGGCAAATAACCAAGAAATGACAAAAGGAAGTTGAAGATACTTTTGGATTTCGAGGGGGAAATATGCGAATAGCCAAATTCACCAGAAATGAAGATACAGTTTAATTTAATTGGCCTTCCGCCCAAAATACCTACCGCAGCTTGAGTGGGTACATATTTAAATGGGGCATTTCCGTTGGAACTATGGAATAAATTTGAGGCTGAATTGCAGTCACAGTAAATTGTTTTCTATCGAAAATTTTGATCGGTAATTTAAATATTGTAAGAAACTTATTATTTTCATAAAGATTTAATATGTTACTATTAAGATAGAAATTCAACCAAAATGGATTATTTTCTTCTGCTGGATATAAATTAAATATATTTTTAGAAATTTCGTAGTGACTCATCGGGTTATCTTAGGATGTTAGGCTTCTGTAAGTTTTGTAATATGAAAAAAACAAAAACTCAAACGAATGGGAAAGCATGTGTTATCGATTATATTCCATATGGCAATGAGAAAAAGGAAAAAACTTTAAAACTCAAATTAGTGGCATTGCTCGATCAATTGGTAATAGGGAAAGTATTATAAAACCAACCTTGTTGACCAGTTGTAAGAATTATTACTTTAAGAAAATGTGCAAATTTATGATGGGCTACCGTAGCAAAACAATAGTCTATCAAGTGAGATTAGAAAACCTTTAAATTACCAATGTTGCAAAAAAGCAATAGTTCAAGAGAGCAATAAAAAATATGCGAGTTAGGAAAATAATGGAAACAACCAATAATGAAGAGTTAGGCCTAATTAACGAAACAAGCTTCATTCGTTAGGAAATTATTTGAATTAATGGCAGCAAAATGAGGGTCCACAAACTGAGCGTTGATGACATTAAGTTGATGTACAAACCTGTTCTAGTTTACATTTATGGGAAACATGGAAATACTGAAAACAGTTGAACAGGCAATTTAGCTAGAGCAAAGACTCTTGAGTGATATTTGATGTCCTTAACGGAAAGTGATGTTCGATCCGTGGATAAATTTTAGAGAAATTCATGCCAACTCCGTTATTCTGTCATTTCCAGAAGGAAACAGAAATTTAATGTCCGCTATAATATTTTTCAACACAACTGAACCACTGAAGTTCATAAAATTCAAAATCTCAAGTAAAATAAACAGTCTATTCTGCAATTACCTTCTTGCTTTATCTTTAGCCAACTGTAATCTAAAATTAAAGCTGTAACTAAATATGGAGGCAAAGGTATTCAGGGCTTTTTAATTAATAAATATGCTTGTGACATCGAAAACAATGTTTAATTGACCACATTCTTGCATAAAGTGCTTCAACCGAATCAAGAAATCACATAATTAATCCAAATACAACTTATAATTATCTTAAAATTTGCATCTTGATTTATTGCATAATCCATATAATAACGCGGTGTTAAAATGAGTTAGCTTTAGCCCAATAATTCAGTCACCGAATCCTCTGGGAGAGCTTCCTCGATGGTGAGTGAGATTTTTCATTCACGTTTGTTCTGTAGAAACTCATTACATCACTAAAATTTTACCATTTTAATAATACGTGTTTGCTTCTATTACTTTCCTTTCAAAAGCACGAAAATAATATCGGTTTCTGCTTTAATTTAGATTTATTATTGTTACAAAATTTAGTAATACTTGTGACTCGTTATTTAGTTATAATTATTTATTTTCCAGGCAGCTTATCATTCAAAATTTACAAATGCTTCAAGGCGTACTGGCAATATGGCCATATTGCCCCTTCGCACTAAAGTTCGCGGCCCAGCACCTCAAGATCCTAGTCTGGAGGAGGATATCATCGACGAAGCTCTCACCTACTTTAAACCACTCACTTTCTTCCGAAATTATGAGTTCAAAGTAATATTGAGTTAAAACTAGCATATCTTTTTAGAGCGAGGCTGACCGTGTTCTAGTCTACCTTGTTCTTTACATACTGGAATGTTTAAAGAAACTCCAAAGGGTATGTTAACATTTTCTTCCACTGTTAATATTCTGATAGTGCTCAACTAAGTCCCAGGGTTCAAAAGAGCTCACCTCCCTTTCTCTTGCTCGATTTGATCTGCCAGGGGAAGCAGGTTTCCCCCGAGAGTTAAGCAATTACTATGCGAAACCCTCAATGGCTGAAGCCAATGTCATGCGTGAATACATGACGCAGCTTCGTACAGAACTTGGTCTTAGACTTTTGGATAAAGTATATGAAGATGATCGTTCTCAGCCTAGCAAGGTTATTTGTTGTTTATTTTTCATCCAATTTAATGAAACCAAATTCTTATCCTTTCCCCTCCTTTTCAGTGGTGGCTATGTTTCTCCAAACGTAAATTCCTCGATCAAAGCCTTTCTGCCCCAGGATACTAAGGAACAAATTCATCACTGTTTTCCAACCAGTTCATTTTTAATTACTTTCATCATGCACTGTGTGCTTACCCATGCTTCTTTTAACATGAATGATACATTTCTACGATTGCTGTCTTCATGTTACTCCGATTTTAGTGTTTTTTCTATATAATAGGAGTGCCTTATAATATGTAACTGGTACATTTTAAACAAATGGATGGATTTAATCGACTTGCCATCTGGTAATAGCATCCCCGCACAGGAGCTTAGCCATATTTTAATTTTAAGTGTTGAAATGGATAGAGGACGAAAAATTGTGGCAAGAAGTGAAGGGCGTTCCTGAACAGGACAGAATTGGGATAGGTTGCCGTGCTAATAGGGTTACCAATGACGGGATTTCTCCAGGAATAAATCAATATTAAGATGTGTACTTAAGAGTTACAATTCGGAAGACAGTGGGGGATTGAACGCTACAGCTCCAAACAAAATATGGAAATATAGATGGTAACTTTGTCCAGTAATTTGACGGTAAAAGAACTACATGAAGGTAATAGCCACCCAATGGCAAGAAACCTGGTCGCCCAGATTTTGAGATCATGAAAATAAGGACTTCTTATCAAACTTGAAAAAGCAGCTTACTCGTTGATTATGGATTTCAGGTAGGAAAACACCCTCGTGACACCGAATCTTAGCATGCGCTTCCTATTTTCCCTCTGATGAAAATTTGTAAAGCATACTTGAGATGCCATGAGAAACAAGCAAATTATACGCCCAGATGATGGATGGATATAAATGGCGGAAAAAAATCAATGATGGAAAACACGTGCTAAGTGAACTTAAATCAGCTTATTCGTATGAATTCAGCGTCAAGAAGAGAGCTAAGAGACTGAAACAAGGAGATATAAGGTAACAATTTATTTAAAAAATACAAATTAGCGTTTAATTTCACCTAAATCTATGATTGAACCTTCAGGAATCTAAAATAAAAGAAATTAATTAGAACATAAGAAATTAAAATTGTAAACAGGTTAAGATAGCATACCTGGTCCCATTTTTGAGGAATAATATCCATAAGTTCATACTTAACGTCGCCCTGGATCACGATTTCACCAGTATTATTGGCAGAGCTACCCGTGGCAAATTTCTGACCAAAAAATTTAGCAGCAGTTTTCAAGTCGATTCCTAAATATAAAAAAATAAAAGCGAATAAATAAAAATAGTCATAATTCGAGTTGTCAAGGAAAAACATTCAAGCTGACCATATGTGTCTAAACCAATAACACTGGTGGTGAACTTGTTTTTGCCTCTAGAAGAACGGGAAACTGTGACTTTCTGTTCAGTAGGCTTTTTCGAGCCAGGTCCCTTTCCACCACGGCTCTGACGGGACTTCTTCTTTGCCCCACCATCTCCTACATTCTCCTCAGTTCCAGTACTTATCTGTTCAAACAGTTGAGGAAGATTTTTCTCAAGCCAAGCCTTGCATTTGGCTGGATCACTCGAGAATTCGCAATATTCAATTGGCATTGTACATTCTTTTAAAATAATAGATCATTAAGCGAAAATTTGACATACCTCCGCAATAATTAACGGTAAGAGGATATTCAAGGCCCTCAATTGGTTCTGCACGAGGACAATATTCATAGGTTGCACTTCTTGATGCCATAACAAAAATCAAGTATTCGTCTAGATAGTGATATCGCTGGGACACCAACGATGACCTTGAATGAAGAAGGTATGTATACAATTCCTACTATAATTTAATATAAAATTCTTTGATGTGTGATTTTAATGCAATTTGGTTAATTTTTCAAGCAAAATGCGTTTATCGCATTAAAAATTCAAATTTTACTTGACCTTCAGTCATTGCTTTGAACTAGTTCTATCGTTAAAATGCCAGCTATGTTCGCTTGCTTGACCTATTTCCACTGTATTGTAGAGTATTTGTGTATAAATATAATTGGATACATTTTTCTCGAGTTACGTTTAAGTTTCATAATTGCTTTGATGCCTAATATTAATTTTATTCCGTCTATTTTTGTACTTCGTAGATTCTAGAAGATTTTATCCCTTTTGAAATGTCTCCATGACTTTGAACTAATTATAACTAATTCTTATTAGCATGTTTTCAATACTTGCGTTTTCTAATTGCTTACACGTGGTTTCAGCTGTTTCAAATCAAATGGGACGCAAAAATAACTCGGACAAACTTCCAATCGACCACTTTCGTCGAGCTATCGGTATGCTTATCTATAGCCTGTATTTTACGTGTTGCCAGTATTCATTCTTTTTACTTAATGCTGATCTTCGATATAGGTATTGACGAATGTGTGATCTAACCATGTAATTTTTAATGTCGTTAATGTGGACGGAAGTGTTTGTCCTTTAATAATGAAGCATTTGCATATTTCAGTCCCAATTAAGTCAATCTCTTGTTTATCTCCTTAGGTGATAATCAGCGCAAACGCCAAAAGGATCAGCTTTCTCGTTTGAAATATATTGCTGACAAAAAGAATGAAAACAGGCATATTGCTGTATGTTCTCTATACTAATTGCTTGCAAAATTGGGCAGTTATTTTTCCTCAATTTTTCTTAGTATTCCTTGTTAATTGTGTCATCATTTAATGCTTTTGAGCATCTATTGACCATTTTCAATACCTTGACTTGTCTGCTTTGTGTTAATGGAGATCTTTTTATTCAAATCCGAAAATCCATTGAGTAGTATATAGCTTTCGTCTTCACCGTTTAAGCACTTTGACTAGAAAATTTTACACGGTTTTTGGAGGCATGTGGCACTGATTCTTTTGTTTTTTTAGCTTTAGTTAGTTTCAAATTCCATTTACAGCTTAATCAATTCTTTTAAAATGATGTTGAATATTAAAATCATAATCACATCTATCCAATATATGGTCATTCTGTATCGATTCTATGACCTCTGAAGTTACATCATGTCTCAATGTCGCTCGTAGACATTAGTTTAATCTAGAAATTGATTTCAATAAAAGAGAACAAGGTCATTTCTCACTCTCACTAAGAGCAAAATGCGTTCCTTTTTGTTATAGTCAAAGCTATGTTGCGGTTCTGGTTGTCAAGACTTCGAATTCGGTATGTCTTGAGGCTTTTCTATTTGAACATCAAGTTATGTCAAGAAACAAACAGTTATATCGAATAGTTCGTTGCTCTTTCTCCGTTTTTACGGTGCTCTTCAAGGTAGCATATTTGCTATTTATCGATATTTATTTATATCAAATGGCAGGCGTCTTGTTGGTTA